AAAATGGCCATACTCCCAAAATTGTTGTACAGATTCAATGCAATTCCCATTCAACTACCATTAGCATACCTCACAAATCTCGAGAAAACATGCCTTCAATTCATCTGGAACCAGAAGAGACCCAGAATAGCAAAAGCAGTCCTGGGCAACAAGGACAAGTCAGGTGGAATCACAATCCCTGACCTGAAATTATACTACAAAGCTAGTGTAATAAAATCAACCTGGTACTGGCTAAAAACAGACCTGATGATCAGTGGAACAGAGTGGAAGAAAAAGCCACAACAAAAAACACACTCAGCCACCTAATCTTCAATAAAGCGGCCAAACAAACTCACTGGAAGAATAATAGCCTCTTTAATAAATGGTGCTGGAAAAATTGGCTTGTCACCTGCCAAGGACTGAAAATAGACCCAAGTCTATCACCATGTACCAAACTCAAGTCAAAATGGTTCACAGATCTCAATATTAAAACAGAAACACTAAATCTATTGGAAGAGAAAGTCGGTAAAAACCTTGAAGACATAGGGGTGGACAGAGAGTTCATGAACAAAAACTAAACTGCACAAAAATATTTCAATGAATCAACAACTGCGATCTCATCCTACTGAAAAGTTTCTGCACATCTAAAGAAATCACCAGCAGAGTAAAAAAAAAAGCTACAAACTTGGAAAAAATTAGGTGACTGTCCCTCTAACAAAGGTGTTCTATCTAGAACATATAAAAATCAAAAAACATCAGCCACCCACCAAAGACCCAATCCAAAAATGGGCAGTTGAGATGAACAGACACTTCTGAGTTAAAGAAATACAAATGGCAAATAAATACATGAGAAAATGTTCAACATCATTAGTCATTCGAGAAAAGCAAATTAAAACAACACTGAGATTCCACCTTACCCCAGTAAGAATGGCTAGCATTAAGAAATCAACCAATAACAAATGCTGGCGAGGCTGTGGAGAAATGGGAAATCTTCTCCACTGCTGTTGGGAATGCAGACTGGTGAAACCACTGTGGAAATCAGTTTGGAGATTCCTCAGCAAACTAGGCCTAGAGGTCCCATTCAACCCAGCTATTCCCCTGCTGGGTATTTTCCCAGAATATCTGAAAACATCATATCACAGTGATACATGTGCACCCATGTTCACAGCAGTGCAGTTTGTAATTCCTAAATTGTGGAAGCCATCCAAATGTCCATCCACTGAGGATTGGATAAAAAAGTTGTGGTATCTTTATATAATGGAATATTACTCATCTCCAAAGAAAGATAAACTCGAGGCTTTTATAGGTAAATGGTCACAAGTAGAGACCATACTCATAAGTGAAATAAACCAGACGTCCGTGTGTAAGGAACATATTGTTTCACTAGTGTCAGAATTTGAAGGAGGGGATAAAAATCAGGAAGCATGATCGACATTGTGAAACAAAAGGAAACTGCTCAAAAGTAAAGAGCAACTGGGCTGAGGGAAAAGTGAAAAAAAAAGAAGGGGAAATTATGTATGTATGTTTATACAGGAAAGATAACATAGTTGTACTACTTTCTTCTATCGTTTTACTGAAAGGAACAGTTAATGATTACTTATTTGATCAATGTTGCATGTCTCTATTTGTTTTCTTGAGAAACCACTTTGAAGATATCAATACGTAATACAAGAACCATTCTTAATTTCCTGCCAATTTGTCTGTAACTCTGTATTGCTTGTATTGTTCTTATGTTATTTTGTAAAGGGATGTCTGTTTGTTAATATGTTTTCCTTTTATTTTTAAAATAAATTTTAAAAAAGATAAACTGATAACCTTACTATTTTGGGTGCAGTGAGAAAGAAGTGGGTTTCTTGGGCAGTGTTTCACATGGCTAGTGGAGCTGAGTGCTCACTTACTGTATCTGACTTACTAATGTGGAAGAAATTATGGGCTAGCAGTGTTTTTCTTGGTACTGAGCTGTGCCACCCTGAGGGAAGGGCAATTCAGGGAAACCAAAACGTTGTTTTTATCCTCTTGAGTGCATCCGTTCTTAAATTTTTTGTTCTATCTGTAGGTTGAAACTTCTCTGATGTATTTCTAGACTCCCACAAAGTCCTTTCATCCATGGGTAGTTATAAGAATCAGTGTTTTTATCATCGCAGGACAGAAAGCGCCTATTCTGGCACCTTCATGATGTCATCTCTGTAATGTGCTGCTCTTCCTAAGGCCATAGTGAGCTTTCACTTTAATCAGATTTTATATTTGATAGATATGGATAGCGCCTTATTCCAAGGAGAAACTTTAAAAAAATCTATGGGAATGTTACACAGAATAAAATAGAATAAAACCATAAAACATATTCCAATAACATACATTCATTGTTGCTCAGTATTAATGCAATCAGTCATCTTTGTTGCTTTGTCAGTTAACTTCTTTAGTGCTTTTTTTTTTTTTTTTTTGGTTTTTCTCCGGTACCGGGAACCGAACTCACGACCTTGCGCTTGCCAGGCAGGCGCTTTGCCGCTGAGCTAAATC